GTGGTATTGAGATGGAGTCTCACTCTGTCACCCAGGCTGGAGTGCAGTGGTGCAATCTCAGCTCACTACAACCTCCGCCTCCTGGGTTCAAGCAATTCTCCTGTCTCAGCCTCAGGCATCCGCCATCATGCCCAGCTAATTTGTGTATTTTTAGCAGAGACAGGGTTTCGCCATGTTGGCCAGTCTGGTCCCAAATTCCTGACCTCAGGTGATCCACCCGCTTTGGCCTCCCAGAGTGCCAGAATTATAGGTGATAGGTGTGAGCCATCGCATCCGGCCTGAACATTTTATTATTTGCCATGAATTTTTGGGTTCTGCTACTACACTGTAAGTTCCTTGAGGGAAGGGATAGGGTTTGTTGTATTTGGCATTTCATAGCAACAGAAGTGTGGTGCCTGACACACAAAGCATTCAAATATCTGATGGGTGAATGAGTAAGTCAATGAAGGGAGTCCTAAGGTAATAAGTAGGTTTGCCAGATGAGGGTGACAAGGTATTCTAGCCAGAGGAAATGGTGTGCATCAAGGCACTGAAGTGAGCAAAAGCATGGTGAGTGGAGTGTTATCAAACAGAACTGCGGTCCACCCACCCGGCCCAGTAAGACCAGATAGCCACACCGAGGTTTGCAGCAGGAGAAAGGAAAACATTTATTTGCAGGGCACCAAAGAAGGAGGATCAGGCAGCTAAAACTTAAATCCCAATTTCCCAGATGGTGTACAGGTAAGGTTTTTTAAAGGCAGAAAGGCAAAGGTTACAGGCGAAGTCAGAAATCAATATATGGAGACTATACATTGCTTTGACCTAAAAAGGCAAGGCATCTCGAAGTGGGGGTGGATTCAAAGATTTTCTAGTGTATGATTGGTTAAGCAGATGATGTTTTGTCTAAACATTTGAAATCTACAGAAAAAAATATATAATCTCTGGCTCATGGGCATGACTTCCTCTAGCCTCTCAGGAAGAAATTTAGAACAAACAACGGTGGTCAGAGTTCAGTCCTGAGCTCCCCCTTATCTGAGGTCTGTGTACCAGTGCATCCATTTGGTAGAGGTTCAGGTTTCTGGAAAACAACTCAGGGATATATATTAAGATGTTATCTATAGTTTCTATAGGGGAACCAAACGTCCCATGATTCTTACTTGGCTATTGTTTTGAGCCGCTATGTCTTGCTTATCACATTTCTCTTTTACTCCTCAGGGCTAGCCAGATGCCTGGAATTTCTCTTGAAAGAACTCAAGATTTTTGTTTTTTTAAATGTCCATGTTTGGGAGTAGGGAACAGGCCCCTAAGAAGGGTCTCTGACTCATCTCAGGATGCAGTGGGTCTGGGAAATACGTGGATGGGGATGCCATGAAACAAGGCTGAAAAGGGAGCCGGGAACAAATCAAGTTGGGTCTTGTAAGCCACAGTACAAAGTTTGAACTTGATGCTAAGGTGCGGTGAGAGCCACAGAGGATTTTAATTAGAGGAAGCATATAACCAGCGTGTGTGTTTTAAAGTTCATTCTTTATTCTGTTAATACACTAATAATTCAACTCAATTTTAGTAAAAAAAGGAAACTACAGATAGGTATAACTTTTTAAAAAATTACCTGTAATCTCACCAGAGATAATCACCATTTGACCATAAGTAACAAGCAATCTGTCTCACTTATCTATTACTGTTTAACAACCCTCCCCCAAAACCTCGTGGCTTAAAACAATAATTTGTTATTTCTAGTGAGTCTGTGGGTTGATTGGGATCGACTGAGTAGTTCCTCTATTTTCTGTGGTGTAGCTGAGGATACACCCACATTCAGCTGAGAGCTTAACTAAGGCTGGAACATCCAAGATAATCTCTCATCCTCAAGAGTCTCTCTCCACATGGCCTCTCATCTTTCAGTAATCCAGCTGAGCTTCTTTGCAGCATGGTGGCTGGCTTTCAAAAAGGATAAAAGGAAAGCTGCCAGTCTCTTAAAGCCTAGGCTTGGACATATACTGAATTTCTTCTGCTGCATTTCAGTAAGCAAAGCCATTCATAAGGCCAGCCAAAACTCAAGAGAAATAGACTCCACTTGTGGATGGGAAGAGCAGCATGTAGGCACAGGGATTGGAAGACTGACTGGCCATCATACTGGAAAACTATCTACCACACAATTTGATTTGCTAAACACAAAGTAAGTTGTTGACCATTTCTGGTAGTAAATAGGAAAACTGAATTCCAGTAACAAATGCAAAATACCTTGTCCTTGTCCACATATGAATCTAAGTGGGTTGTCTAAATAAGCTGACAATTTGCATGTGTGATGAGGGAGGAGGGAGGTGGGAGGTAGCAGGAACACCATATTGAAACCTAGTGTTGAAAGGAGAGAAATTGTAAAAAAGAAAAAGGCAGACTCTAGATAAAGAAAATGGTTAAAATTGTCACGAGGAGTGTTCTGCAGCCAATGCCCCTCTACAGTTAACCTGAGTATGTATTAATTCTGAGTGTGACAGGTAGTTAAAACACATTGTCTAATCACACTTCCTGGGAAGAGGAAACAGCAGCAGAGTCAAACAGATGAAGACCCAGGACCTAGGCACAATACTTCACCATGCACAACAGCAAAGTGCGTGCACCACATCCTAGAAAATGACAGGATCAAAACCTGAAAGGGCAAATCTCTTGCCAAGTCAAGGGGAGTAAGGATGAGGCCAAAATGGTAGCTTTCTCCTCACCCTCTGCTCTGAAAAGGGCAGGGGCTTCTCAATTTTATTCATCACAGTCATGGGAAAGCCATCTGTTTGAATGGCACAGGAGGGCATAACCAGGCTCCTGGACTTGTCTGTGAGCCTCCTAATAATGCCCAAAGAGAAAGGATAGCGCTTCTCAATTTTCACTTGTCTTCCTCATCCACACTTCCACTGCCTTAGTTCAGTCAGACTAGTCTCCATGCTACTCCTCTATATTGCTCCAGTTCATCCTCTGTATAGCTACCAGAGTTCTCTTTCTCAATACACATTTTTTAAGGTCTAGGAAATGGCAAGAAAAAAAGGCCAGAGACAGGTGCAGTGTTCAGATTAGACAGAGACTTGTATGTCACGATATAAATTTTTCTCCTGATTGTGGGTGACCTACTGAACAATTTTTCGGGAGATAGTTAAAATTTTATTTTAAAAGGATATGTAGGCAGCAAGGCAGAGACCAGGAGTAAGCCTGGAAGCTGAGAGATCACAACTATATTACAGTACCTCTGGTGATAAAGAGTAGAGGTCTAAACCATGCCAATGGTAGAAAAAAAGGGGACAGAGTAAAGATATATAAACAGTGTAAACGAAATCATACAAATGATAGAGGCTGGTGACCTCCATAAACAGGCAAAAGGAGATGAGCATATCACCTAAGTTTCCAGCATGAATAGATAGAATTATTCACTGAGAAAGACATAAAGAAACAGCAGGTTTGCGAGTAATCACCTCCAAGTGGCATGGCAGGCCATGTGAATAAAGAGGTTGCAAGCTCAGCAGAGAGGTCTAGACTAAATATACTAAAAACCGGAGGGGGAAGAGGTGAAGCCACAAAGATACTTACCCAAGAAGAATATCCAGTAAGAAAAGCAATACAATCCCACAGAAGCTAAAGAGAGTCTTGAGATTTGGTAAGCCACAAAGAACTTTTACATCTCAACAAATCAAAATCTGAAAGCAGAATATATTACCTACTATTTACTAATATTATTTAGTAAGACAGGAAAGGTCATTCTCAAGTAGAGATTCTCCCCTAGGAGGGTAGGAAAACATACCCCTATCTCCAGAGAAGAGGTGTTACATGAAAACCATATTGAGTATACCTGACTTTCTAACTAACTAGAGAAAACAAAGGTCTACAAAAATCAAACTAGACAGATGGGGAACCTGTTGGGGGGAGGGGGCGGGGAAGGACCACCACTTGCAAAACAACCTGATACTTTTGAGGTCCACAAGAGCCAGAAGGTGGTGGGGCCCCATCACAGCCAACACCCCATACTTACTAACCAAACTGATTAAAACTTGATTTGTCTCCTGAAAGATCGTTCTAATCTGCCAACCTGAGCTTTCTGGTCTACTTAATACCTGTTGCCTCTCACTGTAAATTAATAGGCATTCTGGTAATACACCAGTCTCTGAGAGCATACTTAATGAGTCCATCCCAGAAAGAGGTCAATTCTCAAATGACAGATTCTCTTTCAGTATCTCCAAGGCATAGTGTCAAACCTAGAGAACTTCTGCTAGCCAGTTAGAAGGCTCACTCTGGAATCACTGTAGCCTCACCTAAAGTCTTCTCATTAAAATACATCAAACACTTTTAACAGATTAAAAATTAAGATGTGATCCCAAACAAGGAGAATTCAGTAATAATTTTATTTTGAATTACAATCTATTATCACTTCAAAAAGAGCCACTTCAGAAAACATCCAATGGATGTTGACTTACCAGTAAAAATGTAAGTCATCAACGTATGATTTATACTACAGAATACATAATAAATTATATTTACATGCAATGACTAGACTATCACACACAAGGTAAAAAAATACAGTATTTTATGTACATTTTAAAAGATTTACATGTTCATATACAATTTATAAAGTTAAAAATTCTCTGTACAAAATCATACATGTACAGAGTTTATATAAGCCCCATTCTTATGGCTGTATCACCACACAGATTTGCTTAAAACTCTAATACTACAAACACTCGGGTTCTTCATACTCAATCTTGGCACCCATATAGCAATACATCATTTTGAAATGTAAATTACAGAGGAAATAAAACGTAATCATGCAGACATTTTTAATATAAGAAAATGAGATAAAATGTACCACCAGATCAACATTTATCAATTCCATAGATACTGGGTTTTCAACTTACTGCACTGTTTTCATACAAGTACATGCAAAACTAGCAGATTATGGATTTTTAAAGTAACATTAAAATAATACCATAGTTTGACAATACTTGGGCAATAGGAATGAAACTAAGAGCCATAGTCTAATTATTTCTGCGGATCTGCATCACATCAAATAGACACTGATCATTTAAAAAACAAAACAAAAATGTGTTTGACATTTAAGAGCATATTCACTCTTCTGAGAAGGGGGAGGGGGCAATCTATGATAAACCATTAAAGTATTATCCACTGTCCCTGCTAAGGAAGCACTTGCATACTTCCAATCTGCTTAAATAAAGACATCTGAAGGTTTTATAAAATGTTTAAGATAAGCTACACTAGTTATTTTTAAAAATCTTGAAAAGTAACAAATTGAAGGTATCAGCACCTTCCCTCCTCCCCAAAGTAGCTAAAGATCAACAAGAAAAATAAAGTGCCAATGTCTAAAGTATACTGTTAATGGTTTAAGAGGCACTACCTCATTTGATGGCTTAGGATAAATATGAAAATAGGCCAGATCTGATCTGAATAACAAATAGAAGGTAGGTATTCCAGTATATGTAATTCCTGACTAGATGGGGGCTAAACCAGAAAACTACCTATTCCCCCATTTATTGCTTTGAAACCTGTACATATAAATTCTGACAGAATAATCAGATTTCTAAGATGGAAAGCACAGTGTTTGTGCCACTTTGAAGTTGAAAAAGAAGGTGCACTCTTGATCACTGGGAGGAGAGCTGCTGAGACTCTCCTCTCCACAACTCATATCTTCACAAGAGTCCTCACTAAAGAGAAAAAGAGACAAAAAAGAGGATACCATTACTTAAAACACACTTAAATGCTTTATAGCCAAAATAAAGCTGCTATATGAGTATCTCTAGTGAGGATTTTTATATTCAAAATGTATGCTTTACAGAGACAAAATTTATAAAGACTTCCTAAATGAAGTCTATAGTAATCTCAATGGAAAATACAGATTTTTTTGGCTGAGTGCAGTGGCTCATCCCTGTCATCCCAGCACTTTGGGAGGCCAAAGTGTGCAGATCGCTTAATCCCAGGAGTTCCAGACCAGCCTGGGCAACATGGCAAAACCACATCTCTACAAAAAATATTAATACAAAAATTAGCCAGGCATGGTGGCACACGCAAAAAAAAAAAAAAAAAAAAAAAAGGAAAGAAAATATAGGTTTTCTTAAGTTTAAACAAGTTACTATTTGCCAAACTATTATTCTTGTACCAATTAATAACTCTATCAGCAACTAATTGTAGAATTCTAAGTATTTTAAATCCAATAATGAAGACTAAAGACAACATACCTCCTAGCACATGGTCTATTTAGATGTATTTCTTGCATCCGTGATTTCTTATACCACTTAACACTCTCAAATATCAAAGTAAACTAACAAGCTATGAAAATGAAACTTCTGGCCCTTTATCTCTACAGCATAAAACAAACAAATTTAGCAAAATTATTCACTTTACAAACACAATAATCAAATTCTGAATAAGACAACACCAACTGACAAACCTCGGAGGACATCTATAGAAGTCTTCCCCATTAGTGGTGGTGATTCCCTTTATTTTCCAGGCACCTACCCGTTAATCTCTTCTCCACAGCACAATATTAGGAATTCATACTAACATGACAAAGCCCAGAATTCTTTTCCACTTTGTTTTTTTGGGGTTTTTTTTTAGCTGTATTTCAAAAGCAAGGGAAATAGGAGAAAGATGGAAAACAACCAGTTTAAAAAGGGAAAAAAGGCTGAGTGCAGTGGCTCACACCTGTAATCTCAGCACTTTGGGAGGCTGAGGCAGGAGGATCACTTGAGCCTAGGAGTGTGTAAGACCAGCCCTGGGCAACATTGCAAGACCCCATCTCTACTCAAAAAAATATAAAAAAGAAAAAAACTAAAAAAAATGGAGAAGACCTTATAAATCATTACGTATTTTAACAAAACTACTTCTGGTTAATTTGCTTACCTGAAGAGTTGGGGTTTTAATTCTTAGCTCTTAGTGTAGGGGCTTGCTTTCTCTAATGTCTTACACTATTCCACAGTTCTGAGTATAATAAACTCAGTAATATTTAGTCTAGGGAAGTTTAATTAGTCAAGGAACCCGCCTACCTTTCACTTTCATCAAAACAACCCCCCTCAGGTATCGTTGGCAGCTCAGGAACACTATAGTAGCTGTTGTGGAGGTTCTGGGCTGTGCGCCTTGAAACGATCCAAACCAACTTCTTAAGATCTGGTTTGCAACATTCAGGAGAAGAATACTCAGCTAGGCATTTAGAAACTAACTCTCTCCAGTAAAAGAACTCGGCGTCATTAATCTGGAAAAAAAAAATATTTTAAGAGGTTATGGCAATGTCTCCCAAATCTTGCAGCACCTTGGAATCACTAGGTGAGCTATGAAAAAAAAAAACATATATATATATATAGATGCCTGGCTCCCACTACCCTCTTCCACCTCTGGTATTCTGATTTAATTGACAAGGAGTGCAACATGAGCATCAAGAGTTTTGTAAGTTCCCTAGGTGACTGTAATGTGCAGCCAAACTGTCAAAATTTGGGAACCACTGGTTTAGGAGAGGAGCACTCTAAGTATAAAATTACATAGGATTCAATACACAGAAAGCTTTGCCTATTCTAAGAAAACGCTGACCTAAAAACACTCTGGGTCTGTTAATAAATCAACTATCAAGTATAGTCCTTAGTCTCAATGCAAAGAAATTCAACATTCCTTTTGTTACAGAAACCAATTTGGGTTCCTGTAACAAGGCATTGTTTGGATTGCTGGCAACATACACTTACATTGTAACACCAGATACAAAACTACAGAAATTAGCAATATGAGAGAAGAGAAATTTCCCAAAAAGGACATAGTTCCGCCACCACTGGGGAGTGCTCCAGTTTATTTCTTTTTTTTCTTTTTATGTTTTTCCTTCCTCCTTTGGAACGTCTTCAGTTTATTTCAATGAATCAATTTTCACTGAAGATGGTTCCAGCTATCAATATCAATAAAAAGTTCAGATAAAAACTAATAAAATCATGATTAAAACAAAAGCGAAAAGTTATCTGTTACAAACAAAATGCTTCACATTGCACATATTTTCACCAGAAAACAGAAGATCTATCTATTTTCTTGGCCTCCCATTTTCACCTAATCTAGCTACATCTTAACCCACTTATAATCTGGTTTCTACCACTTCCTTCTCACTGCTCTACTGACATTACCTCTGACACATTCAATGACCTTCAATTTTCATTATATTGGATCTCTTATAAAAATTCAATACTCCTGACTACCTCCTTCTTAAAAACCTCCTTCCTGTCCGACAGTGCTCCTACTTGTGGGGATGTACCTTTCTTCACTTGGCTCCTAATGTTGGGGGTAAAGGCCAACACTAAAAACCCCAGAGCTTCAACTGACCCCTACAAAAATGATTCCACAAGCTTTTAATGGTTTCAACTATTGCTTCTTCATGAGAAATTCCAAATCTCAATCTCCAGCTACAGTTTATCTTCTTATTCCAAAATGCCAAACACCTACTAGACACCTACCTGTGTATACACGCATCTAAAATCATACTTCTCTCATCACAAATCAACTTCTTCCAAATTTCCTGCCAATTATGCTAATATTACATCCACCATTAGGTACAAATCTTGGCCATTCATGATTCCTTGCCTCATTTCCATGCTTGGCTTCCAAAACCACCGTTTTATGAGTTGGACAGCCTTACTCCTGCTTGTGACTAACACCTAGACATTGTACCTGCAAGTCTACCCTAAAATGACTTTTAAATCTGTCTAGTCCACCAATTTCTTGGCCATAAGCCTTTGCTGTCCAAACTTTCACTGTCAAAGATTCTTTTGCTCCAAACAGGCTCCCAGTCATAATGCTTCTCCTAGTCTGCCCTATTTCTTTGCTTAAAAAAACCCCAAAGTAAGCTGGGCACAGAGGCTCATGCCTGTAATCCCAGCACTTTGGGAGGCCAAGGAAGGTGGGATCACTTGAGGTCAGGAGTTTAAGACCAGCCTGGCCAACATGGCGAAACCCCATCTCTACCAAAAACATAAAAACTAGCCAGGCATGGTGGTGAGCACCTGTAGTCCCAGGCACTCGGGAGGCTGACGCAGGAGAATCACTTGAACCGGAGAGGCTGAGGTTGTGGTGAGCCGAGATCGTGCCACTGCACTCCAGCTTGGGCAACAGAGCAAGACTCTGTCTCAAAAAATCCCCAGGTACTCTCTATATTCACTATTACCTGGCACCAAGACATAATAACAGATGACAGAACACAACACTTCATGTTAACTTCCTTATTTCTCCAACTAGACTGAGAGTTTAAGAAAAAGGACTGTGCTTTTGTTTATACCTCTTTGTGACTGTAAGACTTACTTTTACTTAGCTGGCCTAAAGGATTTGAAAAGACATTGGGGTTTAAAACATCAACATTGCTGGTGTTATTTGATGCTGCTGCTAATGGGATGACAGTTCAGCCCTAGAGGTGTGATGTGATCCCATCCTATCCCATTAGTGTTTGTTCTGAGTCTACTTCCTAGAATGCATTTTAGAACAATGCATACGTGGCAATGTAACAGCTGTACTGTCATATGGCATGATTACTACAGAAGGGGCACTTATATGCAGAAAGAAGCTGGGCTAAGTGACCAAGTTACCTTCCGGATTAGTATTTTTTGGGTCAAAGCTGCATTTTGAGAACTTTAACACTACAGATATAAGAAAAAAACGAGTGTAAAAGTTAAGAGTCCCATGAAGTATTCAAGTTTAAGTCACTACAGAAAAAAATGAAACATCAGGAAAGAAATTTGCTTTAAAGAATAATGACTGTGATTACCTTGGAATGTTTTTTAACTAGCAAGAGAATTTCCAGTAATTCAACAGATTTCAAAGTTTCTACTTCCAAATTGAGAAGGCACAAGGCTAATACAGATGGCTGTAAGAAAAAAAAAAAGGAAAATATTTTTTTAAAATTCAAAATAGAAACTGTGAGATATATATGTAAGCAAGGAATCGACTTACTTTTGCTTTTGAAAAGACGAGTCGGCAGTTGCAAGCTTTCAGCTGAGCTTCTAGTTTATCAAGGCTCAGTATTTCTTTCCTATAAATGCAAAGAACAAAGATTTATTAAACTTCCAAAGATTTAAATGATTTTAAACGATTTTAAAGATTTGCCAGGGCCAGACGCGGTGGCTCAAGTCTGTAATCCCAGCACTTTGGAAGGCCGAAGTGGGTGGATCACTTAAGGTCAGGAGTTCGAGACCAGCCTGACCAACATAGAGAAACCCCATCCCTACTGAAAATACAAAATTAGCGGGTGTGGTGGCACACGCCTGTAATCCCAGCTACTCGGGAGGCTGACACAGGAGAATCACTTGAACCCGGGAGGTGGAGGTTGCAGTTAGCCGAGATCACGCCATTGCACTCCGGACTGGGCAACCAGAGCGCAACTCCATCTCAAAAAAAAAAAAAAAAAAAAGATTTGCCAATAAAGTCCAAGTCGAAAGTTTGAAGAAGGTAAAAATACAAATTTCATTGCCATTCCAATTATTTACTGTTAGCTACAGCAATGCTCAAAGTATAAAATTTATCTTTAATCCCACTGACCTTTCTGAAGTATGACAAAGTATAATAGTATGGTATAAGTGCAAAAAGTTTAAGGCAGTAGTAGCTTCCAATTCATAGTGCAATTTTTCTGAAATTATTTTTTCCATCCGTTTTATGTCAGAAGCAGTACATTTACATTGACTAATCCGGATCACATCATGAGTGGATGGAATATTGCAGTCTTCTTCAACTATTCTAGCAGCCAGCAAAAAAGAACAGACTCCAATGCAAGACAAATGTTTAGGTTTCACCTGAGAAAAAAACAAGAGGCTTCTTTCAACAACTGTCACTTTGACTTAGTAAAGCAAATGCTTATAATACTGTAATGATGCTCCTATTCTTAAGACAGAACACAATCAAGCTGCTTCTCTTATATGTACTGGCCCTTTACCCAGTTATACACATTGTCACATTTTAGATCTTCTCAACCTCCCTTAAAAAGAAAAAAAAAAAGGCAGCAGGGAGCAGTGGCTCATGCCTGTAATCCTAGGACTTTGGGAGGCTGAAGTGGGAGGACTGCTTGAGGCCAGGAGTTTGAGAACACTCTGGCCAACATAGCAAGACTATTCTGGTCAACACAGCAAGCCTCCACTTCTACTTTAAAAAAAAAAAAAAAAAATTTTAATTTAGAAAAAAAAGTTTTTTGAACCTTTAAATTATGTAAATTCAAATGCAGGTACAAGAACTTCCATGCAGGTTCAAAAGCTAGATTTCTAGCACTAAAGTATAATTTGTATTTCAGACTTATGAAATTCATAATACAATCTCCCCCAAAATAAATTAAGCTTTTTAACACCAAAAAAAAATGTACTGGGATATTAAAATATTTTATACTTATGTTCTTACGTAAAAATCTTTAAGAATCATTCCATATTTCAATGTAATTTTGCTCGAGAAAGATCACATGAGTGGCGCAGAGTGGGACATATATAAAAGCTGCCATGGACAGATGGCTGCCCTTTTCTTTTCAGTGCCCTGAGAACTGACCCAGCAGCTGACAGCAATCCTACTGGCAGAAGATTCCCCACATTTTTCTAGCCATTACTGGTGACTGTTAATAAAACCATGGCTCCCTGCTTTGAAGAGACTTCTAGGGAAGACGGCCGGTCATATTTAATAGACTGTTATGCTTCATTTGTCACGCTTCAGTATTTTAAAAATCTAGGCTTCAAGAGAAGCATGATGGCAGATAAAATCTTATTTTGAGGACTATAAACATATGGCAAATATCTAAAAAATAGTAGTCTCTCTTTTGTCACATCTTCGAGAGACAGTACTTAAGAGGTAAAACCTAAGACACAACAGAAAAATCTAACATACAACAATACAATTAATCCTGTAGTCTTATTCTGGCACTAACGATCACAATTCTGATTATAAATTTTTATGTACAGTGGACATTATTATACCCATTCGATAAATATTTCTTGAACCCTGTGTGCTAGGCACTGGGCATAGAAAACGGAAGATGAAATACCTTCATAAGAGCCAAGAATCTGTCCAAAATATTGACGGCCAGGACAAAAGTTTCAGTGCAAGATCCAAAAAAGTTGGCTAAACTCCTTAAATCTTCAACTTTGGCATTTCTCAATCCTGGACACAAAGTGTTATCATTCTGCAATAAAAACCAAGAACCAAGGTTTACAATTTTCTTAGAACCAGATGAAGAACACATATAGATCCAAAGAATAAGGTTAATTTTTTTCCCAAGAATAAGGTTAATTTTTTTCCCCTCAATCTTCAAGCATATAGATGGAAAGAGTGGTATCACTTAAGTAAAGCTATACACTTTCTCATCTATAAGACATAAATCACTGCTTCTTAAAAATATACATCATAAAAGAGCTTCAGCAATTCAATATAAGGTGAACCGTTCCAAGATTTCAGAGAGTTATAGCAAATATAATTCAATTCCCTTGAAATGGAGAGAGAGGGTTCCTTTGTTTGCTTTTGCTTTTCTAAAGTCATTTAAGATCCTACTATAAATATGTATTTCACAGGCAGAGGGTGTTTGCACAAATGAACTGCTCAATTCACCAGGAGTCTCTCATCCTGAAGCTGCAGGAGCTGGAGTGCGGGGGGCGGGGGGCGGCGGCGAGGACAGTGCCACATTCAAAACAAAAACAAAAACAAAAACCCACTTCTCTAAAATATCACTCTCATTCTTGCTAAGAAAAGCAAAAGCATGACCCTGGAATAAGGTTTATCTTGGTATTCCAGAAGGAACAACTTCGATATTAAGAAATTTTTGCAGGCTTCAGTCATGATTCAACGGGGAGGGGGGGTTATTACCTCCTCCAAGCCCCATCAGCTGCTTGAGCAAGTTATCTTTTCTGCCAACTTACCTCCGGGGTAGCCTCAATCAAACTCAGCCCTTTTTCTCGAGGTTGGAATCTCTCTTCTTGTTCTAGGTAGAGGTTCAACAATCCGAGGAGTTGGACCCCTTCACGACCTGCCAAGTGCTCTGCCCCCAAATCCTTCATCTGCAGCAAAGACACCACACAGAGAATGTAATCTGGAGGTAAGAGGGGTGGGGAAGCGGGATAGAAAGGGCTGAGGCCAGTACCTCCAGCAAGGATCGCCTCAACACACCCGGACAAGGAGCGGGGTGAGGGGCCAGTCACGTCCTCCAGAGCCCTGGGGCAATCCCCACCACGGCCAGGGAGGTGTGGCAGGGGGAGGAGCCGTGGTCAGGTCCGCCGGCCAGCGCTGGGTAAGACCTGCCAGCTTTGGCCTCTCGGCGTTTCACAAACAGGAAACTGTCCGCGGGCGTCGGCGTCCCCTCGGTCTGCCCCACCTGAAGTCGCACCGGGGAGGGCCTTCTGCCCAGGGGACTGCAGTGAGGCCAGCGACTGCAGCGGGTCCCGGGGATGGGGCGTTGCACAATAGGGGGGAGGGGAGGGAAAGTCTCGCGACTGAACAAAGAAGCGAAGGGAGGAGACTCCCGAGCCCCGCCCGCGCGGGGCGCCCAGCTGCAGAAGCCCCTCTCGGAGAGTCCAGCCCCCAGCTTTTCCCATCCGCTGCTGCAGCACCGATTCCGGACTTACCCGAGAGGCGGACACCCGTGTCCCAGGAGCCGTGGGGTGGCGCGGCACACCCGGCTGCGGTCCGGGGACAGAAATCCAGTCCAGTCTAGCCCGCCCCGCGCCCGACCGGACAACACCCATCCTCTCACTGATGCTGGGGCCCTGCAACTCTGCAGAGCCCCGGGGCTGTCAATCCAAGAAGCACCACCCCAGCGAGCCCCCGTGACAACACGAGTGGGGGCGGGGGGCACCGAGGCGGAGACTGCCCTTAGCCTAGTCGCCCCCTCCGTCCACCCCCCAGTATCTATCTGTCCGTCGCGGGCGCCAGCTTCCCCCAGGGCTGGGGCTGAGGGCAGCACCCTGGTCGCTCCAGCGGATGAGGGGCAGGCAGCACCGAAACACTCGGATGATACCAACCTCCCCGCAGCCCACAGTCCCCACCACTAACAAAGAAACCCACGGCGCCCCTGGCCGGGCCCACTCACCGTGCCGGAGACGCGCCTCCACCCGCCCGCGGTCTCACGGTCCGCAGGGACTGGGTGCAGCGGGGACTTCCGAACCTGTCTCGCAGGTCGGGGACCCCACTGCCTCAGCGGTGCCCCCGGCCCGGCATCCGACCCTTCTTCCCAGGCACCGCCGCCTCGGCCTCACAGCCCCGGCTCCATCCCGCTCCCCACGCGCCCACCCTCCACCCGGGCGCAACGACGGCCGCCGGAGACCAGCCTGCCGCCGCACCTCCGCCGCCTCAATAGAGGCCTCCGTGAGCCTCCTGTTTTTGTTGTGAGTTTCGACGCCCCCAAGGGGGCGGGGCACGTGACTCCCCGCGGAGGGATCCTGCACTTCCTCCACGGACTTTAAAAAGAGTTCCGCCCCTAAGCCGCTGTCTCCAGCCTCTCTCGCTGCCTCCCTAGCTCTCCTTGGCTTCGCCAAGCCAGTCCTCCCGCCCGGCGCCAGGGCGGAGGGCGGAATCTGGGCGTCGGGCTTATTCCCGGATTGAATCGGATTTGGGAACAGGGGAAGACTGAGGAGCGGAAGGAGATCGTTTCTAGTCTCATTACGCATTTTAAAGGTCCCTGATTTGTTTTGTTTTCGCTGTTTTGAAAAGTCCGCCCAAAGTAGCCGGCTCTCTGATTGGATGCGGGTGGGGCGAGGGGAATGCTGAGGACCTGATTCACGCTCGAATCTGGATTGGCTAATTTATCAGTCTTGGAGCCCTCTGATTGGCTTTCTCTGTATCCTGAGCCTCTCTCTGCCTTGGGGCCTTAGCAACTCCAGGGTCTGAATTGCGCATGCCTGGGTGGGCAGCGGGGAAGGTTTTCAGTTACCTGCCCTGAGGTACTGCCTTCTCTCCTGGCTGCGTCCGCCCTTCCCGGGGGAATGTCACGCTCGCGGCGTTTCTCCAGAGCTAACCTTTGTGCCAGCCCTTTCAGCCTCGGGAGAGTTTTCTACATTCCTTCTTTGTTTTGTCTTGCCGTTCCATTTTGCAATAACCCACCAAATTATTATAACATTGTCGGGGCGTCTACTAAAATATTCAATAAATGCTACAAGTTTGGATGTTTGTTTTAAAATTTTCCAATCCAAGAGGAAAAAAAAGTGGAGAAGACAGGTGAAACAAGATAGGCAAAAAGTTGAGGGTCGAAGCTGGGTGATGGGTACTCGAGGCTTCATTACACTGTTCGTTCTACTTCTGTGTGTCTTGGAATTTTTCCATAATTTAAAAAAATTCAGGAGGAACTGAAGGAGGAGTTTTTAATAAAAACTTAGCACGTTGATGAGGGTACGTAAACATCTAATAATTACGGCGTACGTCCAGAGGTTGTAGTTGTGCTGTTGTTTTAATGAAGACTCCCAGAGCTGCTTGGTCCTTGGTAACCCATAAATTATCATTTATTATTCATTATAATTAGCATTGTTGTTATAGGCGACACTTCTCCCAGGACGGGACAAAAAGCAAACCAACCAATTGCCTTAGGCCAGAGACACTTTCACATGGATATCAATGGGGGATGTGGAACATTTATTTGTTTACTCTCTCACTCCTAAATTAGTAAATACCGTATTCTTGAGTTCTAATCTACATAATCAGCCACTGGGAACAGTTTTCTCTTTTCTGTTCTTCTGTATGTTTTCTGTGAATTATTTTGTTACTTGTGAAATATGGGAAGGCACACGGCATAGCTTTGGGAGCGCTCTTCTTTGCAGAGCAGCTAAGGAATTTTTGAAGTAGGTCCCTTTGCATATTAGCCCGGACTAAACACAGGCATCTGTTTGGAGCACAGAGCAACTGGGGGAAAGGAGCCCAAAAAGCTAACACCTATTTCAGAGAGGTGTGAGCTTGGTGAGCGTTTTGGAAAATAAGGTAAAATTAGCACACTAGTTTTAAATGATTTGCAGGCTACATAATTTTATCCAATGCTTATTTTATCTTTTAAACATTAAGTGATAACTTTTACTTGGCATAATCATCTTGCTGGAAATCTATGCTGATAAACATAATAGGAACATGAAACTAACTTGGAGACTAGAGCTAAGATTAAAATTACAGAGATGACAGCTCATTGTACAGAGCATCAAAAGGCTGAGTGAACAGGGCCCACAGACAGCAGCTCCACCAACTGTCCACCACCAGAGAAATGAGAGTTCGTGATCAAAGCATGAAGGAGACTGGGGATGTTTTTTCCAAGAAGGCAAAGGTAAAAAAAGGAACATACGTTAGTTTATAAGTGATGTGAAAGAGGAAATGCAAATTTATGTGGTAGAATTTAAAAATAACAGACTATATAAAACAAAAAGGAAAAGATTGAGAAATTGCCCTTTGCTTAGGCTACATAATTTTATCCAATGCTTATTTGATCTTTTAAACATAAATAAGTGATAACTTTTATTTGACATAGTCATCTTGCTGCTTAGATCACTAAATGTTATGAAGCTATACTAAATGTGTACTATATATTTCATAACTGGTATTTTATGTGTCCTTTTACAGACAGCCTCTTGAATGATGTGAACAGTGATGGCTTTCTCTGAGAGTAAGACAAGAAAAGCTTTGTAAATGGTGCCGAATTTCCTGCTCTTGGCACGCCCTGCTCAGCACAGAAGAAAAGACTGATCAGGTTGTCCAAGATGGAATCCTTTATCCACTTTAGTCCACTTATCTCTTTAAGATTAAAGGAAAGCAGTCATTAAAAATATAGATCCAGTAGTTATTAATACCGCATCCTCTTTTTTAAACACCTCATTTTAAGGATGATGATATTCTTGGAAAATGGGCTTGGGGGATTATGTAGGTTTTCTCTGTTTACTTTGCAGAATTTTTTGTTTGTTAATATATCTTTAAAAAAAATTATCCTCATTCTATTTGTCCTTATCACCTTGGCTTACCTTGCTGGAGGTGAAAGTGTTATTTATGAAAAAAGACATTATTCCCCTTAGGCTAATCAGGCTTTACCCATTAGCCTTTCCGGAGCTTTCTGGAGGGCAAATTTCCTATATCATGCATACGTACAAAATAAGGAAATCAGAAACCTGGCAGCCCCCAAGAACTTCCAGACAATTTAAGATACTTGATACTTGATCTTCTACAATACATGGTAGGGGTTCTGTGGGGTTGAGTGATACTGTCACCAATAACCCCATGAAGGCCTGATGTGCAGCCCATTGTCCTCGGTGACATGTGAGACTGAAGCTAAAAGGTGCTCACAGAATGGGTAATAAGCAGGGAGTGCCCACACAGAAACAATGACTACATTTAGTGAATCCCTGACTCCTGACAAGTGTCCTGCAAACCTGCTCACACTTACGCTTCTACCGTGAAAATAGGGCACTCCCATGGGACAGCTGTAGTACTTCTCTAAATGACTTAGACTTCCCTGAACTTCATAAGGCATCAAAATTGCTACAACTTTCCAAATCTCATCTTTCTCCTCAGAGATACAGTTTTTGACAATAAATCCTAGCTTTTTATTCAATCGAAAGTTAATCAATACAGATTGAGTGCCAGGCACCCTACTAGGCATCAGGGATACAAAAATACGTAAATAAAACAAGGCCCCAGAATATACCCTGATATGTCTGAGGTATAGGGCAAAAGCACTGGCCTTGGATCAAACTGGCCTTGTGTCCCAGCTTTCCTACTCATTAGAGATGGTGCCTTGAATATCTTGAATAATTCTGATGGTCTTGAGCCTCAGCTTTCTAACCTGACGCAAACAAAAAGCCAGAGGTAATTGTGTCTGCTTCATATGTGATGACTGAATACAAATGTTTGTGAAAGCAACTAGCTATATATTTCTAGGCCTTTGGAATTTTTCACCATGTTGTGACTTCATGAAGGGAAAGGAAGGGATTATCCCTAACCTCATCAAAGAAGTCTGGTGGAAAGCAGCCCCGAAAGGAAAAAACCTGAGGATAAGGATATGTAAAGCTGACATGAGGCCATACTCCCCCTCCCTGTCTACTCACTATTGCTGAGTCCCTGGCTGGGCTGTTTTCTATCATTAGGCTGAGCACAGTGGTTCACACCTGGAATCCCAGCACTTTCGGAGGCTGAGGTGGGAGGATCACTTGAGCCCAGGAGTTCAGGACCAGCCTAGGCAACATAGCAAGACTTCATCTCTACAAAAAATTTAAAAAATTATCTGGGCATGGTGGCATGCACCTGTAGTCCCAACTACATGGGAGCCTGAGGCAAGAAGATTGCTTGAGCCTGGGAGGTCTACAGTGAGCCATGATGATGTCACTGCACTCCAGCCTGGGCAACAGAGCAAAACCCTATCTCCAAAAAAAAAAAAAAAAAAAAAAAGGTGGTTTGCAGCCCCAAACTTCCTGCTTAGATAAGTCCTGCTTCACAGAACCTTCAATGGAGACAGAAATGCCTCTCCGAGGAAGAGGAACAGGGAAGGTATAGCATAGAAGCATAGGGTGCCATCTTAAAGTGATGCAGATTTTTCAACCAAGAGCTCATTTTTAAATCAGAACCTGGAAGAATGAGATGATTTATATAGCAGATGATTAATCTCTTTCTTCAAGCAATCAGTAGAATAAGTCAGTGAGGCATCTCATATATTCTCCTTTCTGATTTTCCCACGAACAAGATCATCTCAAATTTGAAATCAACATTTTACAATCCATTTACTATACATTCGAAATCAACATTTTACAATCCATTTACTGTATATTTTGTTGCTTTAGTTGTTAATGCTAGAAGCATGCCCTGTTTTTTTGGAAGAGTGTTTGTGCAAGGGTTGGCCATATTCATAAACATTCATAGTGTTTATCTTTGTAAGGTTGGCTTTGGAATTGTGGAAATTAGCCACACTGTAGACACCATCTGAATGACTAGAGCAAGAGGACCAGTTTTTCCAGCCACCCAGTTTAGCCCCTCCCAGTTCTACTAGCCTGCAAGAGAGTTAACCTTGTATAAACTGTCTCTGCAACCAGAGAACCTGAGAAGTCAATGCTCCGTGGACTCTGAAGCCCGACTCAGTACTTTGTTATCCTGTGCTCCCTCTTTTACAGGAAGAATCAATTGAAATAAATGAAGTAGCTTTGACATGATGTGAAAAGGCTGGCAGAGGAGAGTGAACTGAGAATTTGGCAATGCCAGAAATCAGAACTAATCATCTCAAAATCATCTTAAAATATATTTTAAGTGGCCCAGGCTACATTCTGGAACATTGTACATGCTTCTTTACATAACACATTTTTCCTTCATGGTTTGTTCCAAGAACCATGACCTAACTCAGAGATTTCCTGTCTTTTCTTGACATCACAAT